GCCCCCCCCCCCCCCCGATGAAATTTTAATTCAACTTTGGTCGTTAATCGCGTCACGCTGGAAACGGAATTAATTAAAGCTGCTTAACGATCTCGCCCGGGGGCAATTATTGGATTTACAATGCTTTCGTTGGTAGGGGTTAAGCTGATGCGCCGATGAATCGCACGCTGATTTTCCAAGCAGCCTACAGGCGGTATGATAACGCTAGACCGTGTCCGTCGTGAACCTTGTAAATCATTTTGTTTAGTTGATGGCACTATTTTGATAAGGCTGGTTCTTATAGATAAAGAGTCGAACGAATCCACCGGGCTTGTTAACTCGCGTTAATTAGCGCAGTGTTCGATCCGTAGAACGAAAGGCAAAAATTCGAAGCGTGAGATCTAAGATCTTATGTCAAAAAATGTTGGTTTATAAAATTACGCACGCTGTGTATACCAATTTATAGTTAAAATGTTTTTACCAACGATGTAGAAGTTTTTAAGCGTTCACTATTCGTTCTATTTTCTAACTCATAATTTATATTATTATTCTGTCTCTATTATGTCTTTTTGTCTGTACTATAGTTCTTTGTTATAATTTCTATGTACTGCACGATCCTCTACGTCCGTTTATTAATAAATAAATAAATAAATAAATAAATAAATAAAAATGTGAACTTGAAGTTTAATGCAAGAATTATTTCTTATTTTAATCTACTTTTTGTAAGCCGAATTCGGTACCATGGAACCTTTTAAACGGATAAATAATTTTATGAGAATAGCAGGATAAAATCTCGTATAAAATATTCCTGATTTTTTGTGTCATACTTCTGGACATATTAAGCTTTATATTAAAGTCAGCTTTATTTGCTCCGGTTTGTTTGAAATGAAAGTATTAACTAAAATTCTCATGAAATCCCATCGTTTTCAATCCTATTGTGGATTTTAGGATAAAATCGATAACGATTTAACTATTTCATTTTCAAGTTAAGATCTCCGATACTTTTTTTTCTTTTAAAGAGCATATGAAGATCCATCAATTGATGAACGAACAAATACGATTTTATTAGAAAAATTTAAATAATCTTATTGTAATTTTATTCTTATTGTGTTAGAAAATTGCCGACAGTCAGTATTAAGCGTTGACAAGATTTTCGTACTGTTGGTTCGAGAAGTAATGAATGTGATTCTGGAGAACTTTGTTTCTCAAAAACTATAAGGCTTCGTTTAAAATATTTTCACAATATTTGTAAGGTTCTTTTAGAGTGTTTCTCATCATTTTTTAATTTACAAGTATTTATCAATTGCGAAGATATGGCCGTTCTTCCACTGTATGATACACTATATTACCTAATCCTTGAAGAATGGACTTCTTAAAATTCTGATTTCAAGCTAAATGGCACAAGTTTCAATGTTATATTGTGATTTCTAGCCATGAAATTGCTAGTTCTCAGTCAGTAAAAAAGATACGCGTCAAAAATAAATCGTTTCTTCAATGACTAAGTACTAAAGCATGTTTAACAAGCCTAATCGCATTTATTATTTCAGATAAATCGAAATCTTATTCTCAGACTTTGGCAGCCCCTTTGGTAGATAATTAAAAAATTATTGATTTCTAATTCCTTTTTAAATAAAGGGACACTTTTCGAATAAAGGCTTACAGTAATTACGTACAAAATTAATTCGCAAAAATCACTGACCGAGCATAACACCTTGATACATTTATAATCGAATTGTAATCAAATTGAAGTGATTTGTGCTTGCATTAGACCGAAATTAATCTCTCACCCACAGAATAATTATTACTACCTAAATAACACTATTATTCCGCCTATTTGTAGTAACATAAATTAACAATCGGTAATCCGTCATTACAGAATTTGCATCAGCATCATTTGATTCAACTCTATTCCAATATATTCTACAATATATTGCTAAACCTGTTCCTGAAGATCGCAGCAACTGGAAGGCAAAATTTCGAGCATAAATATTGGTGATATTTCGGCTCGCAGAAATCGAACCTTGACATATCGATTTTGTTCTACGTCTGAAAAGAGTGGAGGATTTACTGAAGATTGCTAGAAGATTTCAAGTGAATTGGATTGGTCTCAAATATAATTTCTGGAAACATCGAATTGATGAAAAAACTGTTAAAAAGTATTTGAAATGTAATCTTTAAAGCCAGTAGAATACTGAAATCGATAGATGTTGTCCACAATACATCATTGTACAGTAAGTTCTCTCCAATTGTCCTTCAGCTTTTAAACAAAAATGGACAATTTCGGAAGAGGAGATACGATTATTCGAGTCTCGCGGCTCGGTTTTATAGTTACCGATTGTCAACAACTATAAAAACGAGACGCGAGACTCGAATAATCGTACCGCCTGTTCCTAAACTGTCCATTTTCGTGTACAAGCTGGGGACAATTTGGGAGTACAGTAATTTCCTTCTAATTCACGCTGAGATTGTGCATAAAAATGAACAATTTAGAAAGAGGAGATACGATTATTCGAGTCTCGCGGCTCGGTTTTATAGTTACCGATTGTCAACAACTATAAAAACGAGACGCGAGACTCGAATAATCGTACCGCCTGTTCCTAAACTGTCCATTTTCGTGTACAAGCTGGGGACAATTTGGGAGTACAGTAATTTCCTTCTAATTCACGCTGAGATTGTGCATAAAAATGAACAATTTAGAAAGAGGAGATACGATTATTCGAGTCTCGCGGCTCGTTTTTACAGTTACCGATTGTCAACAACTATAAAAACGATTCCAAACAAATCCTCCTCTTCTCCGAATTAGGGAGAAATTACTGTGTTTACTGTATTTATATACTCAAATCGATCTTTTGCCGCTGTCAAGCACGAAGATCTTATACATTTGTCTTGGTAGAAAGCTCAGTAAACCGTCGATACGGCAATAGATCCGTCCTTTATTTCAGAAGGGTATCTGAAAGTTTTGGTATCATCGGAAGGGATATAGCTTGGGCTCCACCGAGTCTTCCAATTTCCAGAGAGAGTACAAACCGGTTGGACAATGTGTCAGATCGAGTCAGCCGTCCAAATAGGATCGATCGTGCCGCGTTCGGTAAACGAGGCTGCGGATGTTTATGCTAATAGCTTGCTGGTTTTGCGGATCGATTCGAAGAGACGGGGGAACCAAACGTAGAAATAGTTCGTTTGACGAAGCGCAAGCATTCCTTTGGGTTCCGGGCGAAATAAAAGTTTCACAGTATCCATCCGGGATAACCGTCGCGTTGCGTCGAGTGCAGGTACTGTGCTGTGGGTACAGTGGATTTCGAGACCGGGTGGCGTTAATCAAGAGTCCCGCGCTTCCGTAATCGCCATCAAAACGTGTGCAAATTTTCAAAGGATTCGTTAGCGGTCGTTTGAAAATTCCGGAAAAATCGCTCGATAATTCGGTCCCGGAGACCGGCCCGGAATTTTTCACCGGCACGTAATTTACGGTTACAAAGGTTTGCGAAGCGCAAACATCGCGCCGGGTCGCGAGTTCCAGCGTTCATTATCGTGTCGCCATTAATTCGTGGACACGTGCGCCAAGGCAGTACGGGCCACCTATGGCCAGTTCGTTGACCAGTGGCCTCCGCAAGCGAGAATCAAACGTTCCTGAGAGACGTAACGTTAACCACCACGATACTCGGGCCGAGCAACATGGCTCCATACTTGCACCTGCTTGCGCCGGTGCTTCTAATCTATCTGGCAGCCGACGGTCACAGCGTTCTGCTGTATCCGCAGCGAACCCTGTTACAAGTAAGTTCTTTCTCTCTCTCTCTTTGTCACACGATTTTGCAATACGCTAAAAGAGAATCGAATTTTCTACGTACGGTAGAATCCCGATTTATCCGAACTTTTTAGTCTTTAACTCTGATAATGCGAGGAAACAGATACAGTTACCATCTTAACACGTTGGACGTATTTAACACTAGATTTACGGAAACCGTCAAAATGGCGGGTCACTAATTTTTTGTAAAATGTACAGATACATTTGTGAGTTATTTATTCAATTTATATGTTACTTACGGCAAATGTTACAATAATACTTGTTAAAGATCAGAATAAATGTCTTATTGTTAGTTTTACAAACTAATATAAAACAGCTGTTTTTTGTGCGCTCTGTAAATCTAGCGTTAACCTAACAACATCGATCGAAATATAAGACGATTTTCATCATTTTTAATATTATTATTAACAGTTAATTATTTCGCCTGTTTTTCTAAAGAATTCATTGTCTCGTTAATTATTCTGTTTTGCGATTTAATTATGTACTTACGTATTAGAATACGCGCCGGGAAATAAAGGTTCAGTTATGAGTTCGTATATCTGAGGTACAATGTTAATTCGTTCGTATAAATAAGGTGCAGATAAACGAGGTTTTACTGTATTATTATGCAATGACGGGACTTGCCACCATTTTAACTTTCAAAGTTACAAACTGTTGAATAGTGGAAGCTAAGTAACACCTTCTTTTATAATAACAAACATTTAATGAACAGACTACACCACTTGTCATACGTAACTACTCAATAATCCACATTCAACTATTTTCTTCACTCATATTTTTCACTCATATTATTCATCCACCAGGATCTCTCGCATCTCATGCTACGTTCTTTCTACATATACATTCTTTCACATTCGCTGATTAACATTCACAATGAAATAATCTCGCATACAAATGTTCCATGTATGTAAATGGTGAATTTCTGGTAGTTGATTCATATGTGGGAGAGGTGGCATAAAGCGGACACTTTTGTTACGAATACGATATAAAGGAAATTAATAAAAAATTATACTTTTACTTGATACGATGGAAAGCACAAATATCCGACTATAAATATACTCAATTGGAAATACATAAAGAACTTATTCAAAACAAAAGATTTTTAACATATAATATATGTACGGTGGAAATTATAGCGAAGTTTTGATAGAGCAGTCATTAAAAGGATGTTCCGTTTATGAGGAACATTTTATTGTTTCTCTAAATATGCTTGTCTAGATATAATAAAAAGAAATTCGGGAAACAATTCGAGGGCATATAAAAAGTTGTACTTTTATTGTGCAAAAAGATTCAATTGTAACTGGATGCAATAGCATACGTTCGAATGTCGCTAGAAAACAAAAAAATATTCGCCTTGACTAATTTTATCATCTTTAGGATATTTATAGTGTGTTTCTATTTGTATTAGCTTCAATAAGAAGGACGGACGAAGTTGATATCAATGAAGTAAGAATGCATAAGAAAAATTGCTGCGTAATGATTTGAGTGGTTTTAGATTATAGTCGACATGAAATCGTCAAAACCGTCCGCTTTGTGAGAGTTAACCCTTTGCGCTCGAAGCCGAATTAACGCAAAATTTAAAACGGCTTTTCCGACCCACGGTTTCTCCATTTTTCTCAATGGAATATTATGACCCGTGCAACGGCTTGCGCTTTCAACAGCTCTTTCAATATAAACAAATTTGTTTCATAAAATTATTTTGTGACGTGACGCGACAATTTTTAATGGCGCCTCGGAGTCGCCACTCGAGTGCAAAGGGTTAATATTGTAACGCGTAACATAAATATTCTGTACGTAAAGAATATATAATTTTTCGGTGGTAATATTGTTGTTCAACTTCCATGTGAGGATGCATAGCAATTAACAATCTTAAAGAGGTTTTACTGTAACCCTTTGCACTTGAAGCTAATTTTAATGAAGAAGCCAAGCATTTACAGATTTTTCCAGATTTTATGCTTACGAAGTTATTGAATTTAGGTGACAGATGTAAATTTTAAACAATTTATTGAATACAAACGAATTAAGGAAACAGGATAACATCTTCATTCAAAGAACGCTTTCTCTCCAAAAAGGCAACAAAGGATCAAAATATTAAATTACCCAATGCGTCTTTTGATATTTAAAAAAAAAAAGCAAAGCGAGAATTTTCTGGTCGACGAAATTCCCTTGTCAGCGAAGTGAACGTTCGGCTCTGAATGGCCGACATGGCCGAATGGTCGACACCGGTCGACTTTGATCGACTTTGGTCGGGAGTTAATCGCCGCGAATTCGGGACTGCTTCTCCCGACAAATTCTTCTCTCCTCCCCGTCGATGGTCGCTCTTCGATTTTTCTAGCGTTTGTTCGAGACAAACGGGAGAACGATTCGGGCAAACCGAGTTGTAACCTCGGTCCTTATCTCCGTAGACAGCTCGCGAAACTTATTAAGCCCGTTGCCTGGATAACGAGCACTCCTTTGCCAGTTCCCCTCTAATTAGATTGCGCCTCTGTTTGCATTGAATTCATAATGTTGTCTGCCTAAGACGGTCGAAGACGACGACGACGACGACGACGACGACGACGAAGAAGAAGAAGAAGAAGAAGAAGGGGCTCGGCGTGGATCCGGCGCGGTGCTTGTCGATTCTCGGCTGCGACGGAAGACCGGGGAACCGGACGATTTCTTCTTAATAAGGGGTTTTCATGGAACGTTTGAATAAGCAATTCCGAGAACGAAGCTTAAAGGTGTGTTCGCAGCTGGCTGCGCGAGCGCCGAAGAGGCGGCTTTTAAATAAACCAGCCGAAAGTCGTCGAGTAGGCCCCGGGTTAGATGAAAGATTACCTTTTACCAGTCGCTCGAAAGCAGTTACTCCGGTACTTGACAAGACACTATCAGTTACTAAGTATTCGCCAAGATAGCCCCGCTTTTGACTCCGCCTCCGCTGAACTGCCCCCCTTTTCATCTTTTTAATTGGATTATTTCGCGACGTTTTCAAATAGGATCGGGTGCGTTTCCGCGAATTTACACTAGAAAAAGTGGATCTTCCTTTTAGCGGACCCAGCGGACCAACGAGAATAATTGCAATGAAAGAATTTTTTAGGTTGGCTCGCCACGCTCGCGGCACATTCGTACTTCTGTTACAGCGCACCAACAATTCTGTTACACGCCGATATCGATGTAGAATTGAACCGTTTGATGGGAAATGGGCGAATATTCCGGAAAGCCATTTTACGAAAGTCGATTTCAAAGCTTTCATCCTAGTGTTATTTAATAAACCGTGATGCAGTTGAATTGAATTTTTACGCGAGTGCGTAGCAACGCGCGTAACAAAAGTCGTGATTTGTAAAACACAACGCCCGGCTTCGTTTATAAATCCTTTGAAATCGGTGTACATTTTCCTTAAATCGTATGAGTCGCTTTGCAAAATCTTTGGTCCAATTATGTTCTGGTAGGAGCAAATATTTGACAAAAGTTTGAAGCGGTTTCTCAATTTAACGAGGATTGTGTAAATAATTAATGGTTTAACCCATCTTATCTTTAGTCAATACGTTGACACTAGGTTTACGGTACCCGTCAAAATGACAGGTCAATTATTTTTTAATTTACGATTATTCAGATTACAAAGATGCATTTCTTTATTTATTCAATACATGTGTTATCTGCGGCAAACATTGCAATAACTCTCGTTAAAAGTCAAAATAAACGTCTTATCGTTATTTTTATAAACTAATATGAAATTGCTGCTTCTAGTGCTCCGTAAATCTACTGTATAATATTGTCGAATGCAGAGATACATCCGACACTCGGTTTTTAAAACTTGCCCGCAATCAAAAAAACTATCTCATCTTATTAAGAGAATTGTGATTGCATAAAATGAAATTTAGAAAAAGACATTTCGATAGCAATGATAGAAACAAAACCATACGTACACTATCATTCAAATTTTCTTTTTAAATATTTTACGAACGTAAATGCCTACCTCGATTGAAAACCACACAATTTAGAAACAATTTCATTTGAACACTATCCCGTGTTCGAGATATTGAAGTAAATCAATTTTCAATTCCGAATTCGTAGATTGTTTTCAACCTTTCAATATGAACGGTTGCCGATACATGAATATGCATCAAATATTTTTTCCGTGGACTAACGCCGCCATGTATATTTCATCAAAAACAATATATTCAAGTTCGATGTATTGTGTGTGTGTATTACCGCACTTTGTCGCGAGTAAGAGTTTATTTCCAATAATGATTTGCCGAGAACTGTAATAATATCAGCAGATAAAGTATTTGACATTAATCGTCAAAAACAAATAAAAGGTCACGGAATCTGAAATTGTTCAAAATAACATTCAAATCGATAACAATTCGTACAATTCATTTTATGATTCATCTAATCGTATAATCTTTTAGTCTATCACAACTACTAACTCGATTAATAACCAATCAATTATATTCATTAGTAACTCCAAGTAACACCTTGATTCAAGATAAACTTAAGTTTCTTTATTTATTGGTTTTGTTTAATGCTACCATTGGCAGAAAATATTCCATTGAAATAGTAAGTATTATTGTTATTAAATTCGATTTCCTATTTTGAACGATTGGACTCATTTTGTAACTTATAAAGAAACAAGCATATTTGTGTTTATTATTGACAATCCTTGACAAACGGTGAGTTTTATCGTTGCATCTACATTTACTCTTAATGAAAAAAATGTCTAGCTCAAATATATCAGCGATTAGAAATATATAAAATACTTTTTGCCAAGGGTTACATTTTTAAACGTACTTTTTCATGGGCCCTTAATATACTAATTGGGATGTTCCGGAACTACCGTCACATCCGGAAAGGGATGATTTCTTATCAAAAATGTTGTTTACGGTTTCGTTAACAGGTTGTCAACGAATAGCACGATCCAGTCGTTCTCTGGTCCGTATTTTTCGTTAATAACCCGTTATTTGGGCCATAACCAGCACATTTTCGCTCAAACTTCGTTTAACCTTCTCGATTCTGGGACACAATGTGTAAGCTGCTAACAACTTTCATTGACTGTTCGAAGATTAGACATTAGATGAAACCTTTGCAAAGCTAGGTCAAAGTGGTCCCAAGTCCCGCCATCCAAGGATTAAAGTGATAAGTCCGAACCGAGGAGAGCGTTCGATTGTTCTTGGAAGAAACAATTTTATCTCACGAGAAGAAGTTACGGACTTCGGGTGTGCGATTTCAATCGAGCTGTTTCGGCGAATCTAGGCCAAAAATAAATACAGACGTGTTCGAGTACGCTAATGGGCTGCTTTATTAGTAAAGGTATTCGATGTCGAAATTAATTAATGCTGCCAGATCGCAGCCAAAAACCGCCTCCAGGGACACTGATCATTTTCGGTCTAGATGCACCAAAAAAAAAACAACTTTGATTGAAATCGGACACCCGAGGTCTGTAACTTCTCCTTTTTAGCCTTTTCTTGGATATTGAGAGTCCCGTTAGTGGAATAGAAATTCCCTAGTTGGACGCAAGAAAAGACCGCCGGATCTTAGGTGTATAAGGACAGGACTCTCCTACATATGTATAATGCTCGGAAGAGACGCCGATCTACATATAGCCTCGCGTCGAAGTTTCGCGGGGACTTCGGTTCCAGCGTCGAAGCGAGCCAGCCATCCATCCGACAGACCGTCATGCAGCCTCGTTCCTCGAGAAATTCTTTCGCGCAGCTTGAAAACTTGTTTCGCGAAAACGGATCGTTTCCTTCTGATCCGCGTCTGCTCGTTCCATTTTCCAGTTCACGTTGGGCGTCTCGGTCCCGGTAACCATGAACAAAAGGGGCGGCGTGGTGTTCTCCGCCGCATTTCAATTAAATTATAAACTTCCATCGAACTTGTCGGAACTCGAGCCTACAATAATACCGGCCCGCCAGATGAGGGACTTGCAGCTCCAGGACACTTACGGGACCATCGAAAATATATTCAACCGGTGAGTCTGCGCCATTCCTTTTCATCTTTTGACTCGTAAGAACACCAATTCATTGGCTTTCACTGCCACGCCAACAATCTCAAAAAGATTAACCAACGACGATATATCGTTGTGCCTCCGTTAGAGCCTTATTGTACTCATCACAAAAGATCTGTGTTTAAGTATAACTTCATAAAATGTTAAAATGGTTCATATTCGATGCAACACAAGTGAAAAAATGTTTATTAGATCAACTTTTTGTTATATCTTATGTGGTTTCGTGCCGAGGGTCTGTATATGCCAGAGTGAATCTTTCACGAATTTCAGGAAAGTAAATGTTGAAAACGATAGCCAATATAACCCGCGCCCGTTATTTTCGGAAATACCCGGCCCTAAACATTTGCCACCGAACATATCCAAACCAATAGAATATTTCGATTTATTTTTTACGTACCAATTTCTGAACATGTTGATTTTTTCTATGTGCAATTACGTTTTGAAAAAGAGAAATTACTTTGTACGATTTTCATTATGTCTTATACTTATGTTATTCTTATGATTTTTAACAAATATCGAAACTTCATTGGTATTGATTTATTCTCCATTCCTTTCGCAATATGCTGCTTTTTGAATTTTGTAAATATCA